AAGAAATGTGCGCGTATATTTGCATTCTTAGGTGTAGTACATCATAATCTTTTCAATGGCAATCGTAAGTCTGCAACAGATTGTTACTCGAGAGACTGTCACAGTACACTGCGAATGGTTCAGGGTTCTGCAAAGTTCCTATACGCCTCGCACCACTGTTGTGAAGTAGCAGTAAGGCAAGTGTTCACACCATTTGAGCATCCTAGCTGCCATCGGGGCATTTCTTCCGAGCTTGTTCTTTGCTTTTCCTTGGGCAGTAAGTGTTCTTAACAATTTTTGGTAATCACTTTATGAAAAATCCAGCCAATGCTCATTGTGTTTGTCCAAAATCATTTTTCTCACTTGATCCTACATTCCTTCCACATCCGAGCACATGGCTTAAAATTCGTGGCGATAGCTACTTTTAATTATATATAGTAAGGATAGCCCCGCCTACCTCGGTGCAAACCCCGTCTAATCTGAAGTTTGACTACATATCCTCTATGACCTCTAACCACTTGCGTTGTAAAACTTTTCTGAACAGAGTTATGAATGTTGGGCCCAGCCCTGCCCATCCCGAAGCGAACCCTGCCCGCCTGGGTGATTCGACCACACTTCTTCGATAGCCTCCGACCACTTTTTTTTCCACGCTCTAGATCCTTTCTGAACAGAGTTATGAATTTTGTACCCTAGCCCCGCCCTCTTCCGTGCAAACCCTGCCCACTTCGAGAAGTTAACCACATTGACTCCATTTCCCCCGAACACTTTTTTACTCGTTCTCGAACGTTTCTAAACACGGTGAGAAAGCCTCGATCTAACCCTCGCCCACTTCAAGATTTCGACCACATTTTTTTTATAACCTTTAACCATTTTCCGAGCTTTAAAACGTTCCTGAACGGAGTTACTTTCGTTTCTAAAAAGCAGCTTTCATTTCAACACGCCGCCCATCGTGGGCGGGGCTTCTCTGAGTTCCCGTATGCCCAGCACGCATGAGTTTTGCTCATTCTCTTAATTTTTTCCCTGTTCTGACGCCTTCGAAGAATCAGTTTATGACCTATGTGGCAGTACCGCCTACAGCGAGAACGCTCCGCCCACCACCGTTGAATCTCCTCCATTCAATTGTTTACCCAACGCTCACCTTTTTGCTCATTTTTTTCCGGTGTCTGGACTTTCTCAAAGCCAAAACACGATGTGATGTAAGACCGCCAAGACACTCATTTGCTTGTTCATTTTTTGAATTTCTATTTACTTGTCTATTTGTTTACTTACATTCGAATATGTGTAAAGAAAGGATATGAATTCAAATGATTTACTGTTCCATAATAATATTCTTACAACAAATGCATGCACATTTGCCACCACTTAAAAGTGTATACGTATTGGACGAGTTCAGTGTATGGATGATGTGATACGTATAGTAAGAGATGGTGAAATGTATATTAATGGAGACAAATACCAAATTTAACACGCACAAACAATTATTACAAATCATTTAGTATTTGTTACATATATAATTTGTACACATATGAATATAACACCGGAAATATAATTTTGCATAGCAAAAAAAATTGTATTTGGTGGGTCGACTGTAGGACACACACACACTCGCTGCACAGAACAAACATTAAACCGACAAAAAGTGAACATGCCAAGGGCAATGTGTAATCAAGCGCCTTTACAAATATCAGAACAAGTTAAGGAAACAGAAACAATCCCAGAAACAACAGCAGAACATTCTAAAACTATCGAGTAGTCACGGAAATGCCAGAATTCAGGAGTGCAGATCAGAAGATGCGGAAAGATGTAAAGAGCAGTGGTACGATATGCGCTTACTGTCAGGCATATTCATAAAATAAACCGTAGTAGAGACATTTGAATATATATTTTTTACAATAGGGAAAGGGACAATGAAAGCGGGTACTGCACACTGAATGACACTTCCTCAAACTATACCTAATTGTACTGAAGAGAAAGGCTTCATCCATGGAAGGCCTTAAATGTGCCCTAATCATTCAAAGGGACCAGTGGTCTCAATCTGCCTAATCATTGACTTCACCACTCCAGGTGGTGTCGCTGGAATGAACTGATCCAGCTGTGCTGCTTGTTCTACCGTCAGAGGGGTTCGTTGACGTGCACTTAGTCGTTTCGGAGATGCCACGTCGTCGTCAATCAGCGGAAAATCGCCTCGGTCACCTCGGGGAGAATCCACTTCGATGATCGTCGCCGAACGATCGTTCAACGAAATACGCGTACAATTACCATGAAGAAGCTGGAACACAACGCATCAGTGAAAGCTACTTGAACTTATGGGCGATGAAAACTTGCACCAAAAAATTCACCTCAGAAGTGTCGCCGATGTTATACTTCTTAGCACGGAGCCTTTTCATCTGGTCGATTTTTGAAAAACGGCGTTCAGCCCTGAAAGAAACTTCGAAATCCAGCGCATTTCAAAGAAAAATGAGTACCCTATCGGGAACTATTTTGGTAGAAAAGAAGGGAGGACGGCAAACATCGTCTTATTCAAAAACTATCTAGAACAGGGCAGATCCATCGTGAAACCCTTAGAGACCGAGCCTATCGTTTATTTAGATTCTCAGGATGAGTGTTCCTCCAGAAAAGTACCATGCCTAGATGATATGGAACGCTACGTAAGCGTAGGAAAGGAGCAAAAACGATATTGACACGAGACATGAGACAATTGTCAACCAAAGGACAGGACGCCAACCCCACAAAGCCCTATTTTTCCACCCAGTCTTTCCTGCCCCCTCCCTATTGTCTTGATGCGTGGAAATCTTAGATAACTTGAACGTATTTTTTTAGTAAGACCAAAAAAAGCTTTATTCCCACTCCAGCAATGCTGACAAAAGTGAAGCATTCACCGCTGTGGTCCACCATAGATTGATTTCGGATAGCCGTTTTCAGGAACTTCAGTATTCGCCATCCCAAGGTCTTCAGTTAGGCGTAATGACCCCTCATAGCATCTGTACAGGACCTTCACTTATACACCTTTTTTTGGCCACCGCACACACAGATGACACCCACCCTTCCCTTCAATCTTCGATCGTGAAAAAGCCAGGCTGAGCATCATCGTGGCCTAGCTTATATGATCGATGGTGCCCGAATTCGCGCAAATGTCTCCCATATCGATATCGGGTATTCGCCCACATGAATTATACTCAATCTTTTTGAGATCATATGATATCATATGATAATTGCATCGGGTACTACAGCAAAGGCAAACACTACTAAAATAAAGCAAATGTAAAAAATATAGGACTATTTACTCACTGTTGGTGTCCACTTGGATAGCAGGACTCCGAAATTACATCACATTCATCTCTCCTAGGTTCTCCCACAGCATGATGGAATTCGTCGAGTCTTGTAAGAGACTTGGAGCGACTATTCTTTACCGCCTGTTGTCGCCATGCGAGAATATCTTGGATGGCTGAGTCCGTCGGATGGGACGAGTTGCATACAGCTGATTTTGCCTGGAAAAGAGAGCCATACGTTCACCTACTCAAAGCCTAAAACCGCTACTATCCCTCAGCAAACCCTGACTTGAGCATCTCAGTAAAAAGTACAGTACAATACATATTACTTCGGAGAAACGAGGTAATTCACTGCGGAAAATGAAAAAGAAACCCAGAAATGTTCTTTCGAGAGCCAGAGGGATCTGTCGAAATCAAAAGGGAAGGTTGGAGTGATCAGCTTTATTTCAGAAAAGAGCACACCCAAAAAAAGCGTATTTAACCCCTATTCATAAGCAGTAAGATTCTCGAATGAAACTTCGCTTGATCTCTTTCCTCTCAAACTGCTCCTTTTGAGCTTATTTTCTAATTTACAAAGATCTTGGTGTCCTCAGACAATCCAAAAAAGTTCACGATTACCCTAACCAGGAGACAGAATATTGCAAAATTATGATACGTGACCAAAATTTTTTTGTCAAAAGCCTGAATGCGTCACTAACCTGCACTTTGGGGCTGGTGTTACCGACCAGGACGAGCTCTTTGAACAGCTCGTTGAAGGTCTCGTCAATTTCTTCGCAGTCGATGCGACGTGAGGATGAGGAACGCGACTGAAATCAAAGATTAATAAGGTAGGGTCATTGTCATGTCAGCTACAGCAAAATATCTTATTATCTTCTAAGAAGTTTGGTTTGGAGCCACCGCCTTAACCCTGGGAAGGAATCGAGAGCGGGACTGAGCCTCCCAAGCTCAATCAAAACTCTAGCTCAACAGAGGTACCACGCTTCCCTCGTAAGATTGAGGACTCCTTTTCGAAGAGCTGGGAACTTATGGGCGATTTTCGTGAGCTTCTGGCAAACCCATTGATATTTATGATGGAAATTGTAGGGCGCTGAACCATGCACCAACCTCACACTTTGGCGGTAGTCCTCTCTTATTTCGGGCCATTTGATATCGACTTCGAGATGACATAACTGCTTCAGGAGGAGGTGGCGACTGAACCGTTTCCACTCCACCGTTGAAGATAATTGTCGAAGCGGAAAGTGTACGTGCTACGGGAACTTTGTTTGCCGTACTCGAGACGCGCTGAAATGATTTAAATGAAGCTTATAAAATGGTCAAAAAAAACTTCCAAAGAAAATGAGCTTGGGCACTTCTAGAATTAGCAAAAATTAGCCCAAACATTTCTGAGTTTGGGGACAGTACTGTAGTAGTTTGCTTAGTTGATCCCGTTTCAGACCCCGCCAAATTGAGGGAAGAGGAAATCGGGCGGATGACTATGAAAAATTGAAATGGAGGAAACCTTTTTCGAATTTATCCCTCCCCAATAAAATGATCTTTCGGTCGAGACTCACCGCTGACGTTACTTCTCCGCTAGGGCCAGGAATTGAGGCCATATGGCAATTGCATTTCGGTACCGGTTCGGGAACTCCGAAAAGTTTGTATCGCGACGAGTCGGACACCAAAGATGTCTGAAAACTTATTGTCAGTGCATAGGAAAAAGTGAAAAATATCAAAAAATAACTAAATTAATAGAAGTAGAATAGAGAGTAGAATGAAAATAGGCAAACATTTTTTCTCAATAAAATATCAAACTTATAATAACTCTGTAATATCAATTGTCAGCTCAATATGTATCCTCGACTACTTACCTTGCTAGCTCCCAGTAACCGGGATGCCGATAGACTTCGTCGTCGGTTCTGATCACTGGTACTCTTATCCACGCTCTTACGCCGTTTTTCCAAGTACTTGGGCACCCGTTTGTGATTTTTCATGGACACTAAAACGATTCTGTTGAATTTGTGATGAGTCTGGGTCTAAGTATACTTTCTAGGCTTCCTGAGCGACAGTATCACAGCATAAGATCTAATCTGACTGATATCCTCACCCTCAGCAAATTCAGGCCTTCCAAATGCAACACGTTGAGTGTTATCCATGCTCAGCATCAACTGCTTGGTCTTCTCCGGTATTTCAATACCGTAATGATCTAGCATCATCCTCTTCAATTCAATCATCCAAGTACGTTTCTGATCAGCTGATGACGCCTAAATCCCTCATATTCATGTATAACGTCGAAGGTATCCCAAAAAAGAGGGAAAAAGTTTTTGATCTTTCAAGACTAGATTTTGATTTTGTAAAGAAATTCCGTCAATTGAAATCCCGTATATCTGTGATTTACAAAAACTCAGCAAAACGCCTATCAAGGTCAGTACCTGGCAATTTTGAGCTTTTCCAAGAAGGACCAGTAAAAAGACTTACGAGAAAGATGTATTGAGCACGTGGATTGTCGAACGATAGCACTTGAAACGCTAGCGGTTCCTCGGGATAGATAGATTCATTCAGCATCAGATTGGAAGACTAAAATCGCCATAGATTAATTTCGTCAAGGAAAAGTCCTTTTAAAAACTGAAGCCCTGCTATACGGACTCAAATCTTCAGCAGGACCTAAGCTGAAGTCATTCAAATGCTCATTTACAACTTCATCCCTCGAGAGTACTTCGAGGGAGTATCTAGTCGATTTCATTGTCAAAGGAAAACTCCAACACTTCCTTTCCGGTATGAACGTCAAACTCACCATAATATAGTCCTTGCAGATGTAATTGGAGTTTCTTTGCTTCACAATCAGCAACATCTCTTCAAAGAGGAACAGTAAACGTGTGTTCTTGGATCCAGCTAGACGGAATGGAGCTTCAAGGAGGAGTTCTCCGTAAGCTGACAGATTGGCAGCCTCCTAAAATGGTTATTTTTGCAAAAACTGTGATGGTAATGGATTTGTTTGGGGAATGGGACAGAATTTCGAAAAAGATGTGGGAGGACAATTGAATCCCCCACCTACTCTTCCCTCTTGACTTCCCTCCTCCTCCCCTCCCCCTTGTAGAAAAGCCCAGAACACGCCAAATTTTATCATACTGCCGAACGAGGGAGACCAAATCGTTCTTACTGGCTTTCAAACTCACCTTATCGACTGTCCATTTCTGGATAGCCGCTTGCAGCTGCTCAACCCTTTCGGCATGTTCGGCACGTTTCTTTTCGTCGTTGATTCTTGACGCTTGCGATGTCATCACCTCATGAGCTCGTTTGACCAATGCATAGTCATCAGCTGGCAACGAACTCGGCAAGTGTTTCAGCATATTCTGAAAAGCCTCCGTTGAATTCAGAAGTCTCTTCGAGGTTCGAACAGGTTAGGCACTCCAAATTTTACACATCATCTCGAAAAAAGGAGGACTATTACTGTAAATATAAATCCATAAGGGTGTCAAAATTCGTCTCTGCTAGAATTGGAGCAGAATTTGATGCCCCGCGGTCCATCAACTTGTTAGATTCTAAAACACGGTACTGATCCTTTCGAACTATCCTGAACGTCCCTCTTCACTTTTTAGAACTTTACAGCCTTTCCGTGAACGTTCGGAATTTTTCCTCCGCTAATCGTTTTTAGGCCGCCTACCTTGACCCAAAAAGATACGGACGTCACTAATTAATGAGCAATTTCAGTGATGATTGGATAAGTAGTCAAAATCAGTACGTATAAGTTCATTCACCGCCCATCAGGTAAGAAATTATCAAATCCAAAATATTTGGGGACTGACTTTATGCTACCTACACAAGCCCGCCCGAATGGGGCGCAGAGGTTCCCTCCCGCTCGGATTCTATCAAATTTTCAGGATTGACAGAGATATTTGTCGAAGTCATTGCTAACTGGCTCCGTAGAATAAGCAAGGTCAAGCTCAGCGGTGTAGGAGAAGTATCGAAAAAGCTCTTCGTTTGCCCACTCGAGCATTTGGGTGGTCTGTGAAGCCTGCTTCAGGCGAGAGCTTCGAGCCAAAGTGAGCTCTACCCCACTCCACTTACATTCGGAGCTCAAATAGAAATGTCCCAGTACTCCTAAAAAGCCCTATGTCTATTCCTGAGAACTAGTGATTTTGAAACGTTCATTTAATCCATTTGTTTGATCCCCTTGCAAGCCGTAAGAGTACGACAGGAGGGAAGAGTCCCCTCCACGTGCCCGACGGTGAGCATTAGTTTATCCAGCCAGGATTCAATGGATCTCACTATGTCAAACACTGAGCCACTCAAATACAAAGTCACACGTAAACGAAGTATACACACCCACCTCAATGAACAAGTGATACTTGAGTATACGTTGAACTGGTTTGAGAAGATACGCGCTCAACGGAAGAGCGTGTCCGAGTGCTGTCTGACGATGGGCTAACGCAGCAGCCATATGTGGAAGTTGTTGTAATTCCGCTAATGTTGCTATCATTCTGGAACATTCGGTCTTCTGATTCTTTACTAAATCCTAACTTTTAGGTCAACTAAGAAGTAAACTTACCGATGGTAATTCGTACAATACACAATGTAATCTTCGAATTTTCCTGCATTCTCAACGAAACAACGGCTCATCTGGAATAACACCGACTTTTGTATAAAAAAAATTGAATGAAAGAAGAAATAAAGAAGTAAAGCCCCTCGGGAAGAATTTGCTCGACACGAGAATGCTGCTACAAACGAGCTACAGTTTTTTGAGCGAACGGGTTCTTCACTAAGCCAGTCTAGGGTTCTTCGAAGCTTTGAACTTATTCCGAGTCGAAAAACACTCAAAGGGTAGGGTATCATTTTCATCCCAGAACCCCAGGACCACAACTATTTTCGAACTTTAGATAGCAGCCAATTAAGGTTGCACCCTCTGATGATGACCGTCTCTAAAGCTCCTATTTGCAGTCGATGCTGCTGGGCAGCCAGAGAGTGATTACTTCTAAACAGGTATCCGCTGGCTACGATAAAAAGATCAATCTCACAATCAGGTCCCTCAAAAAACAGAACTTAAGCTGTAGAGTGTTGAGACGCCAAGTCTTAGCCCCATAAAAAACGGTACTCAAGCTGTAGAGTGTTCAGACGCTAAGCCATACAGCAGAGAGCCTTCATGCTATGGGTCGCTTCCTGATGAACCGCACGTGGCGTCCCACACCAGCTGACCCAGCAGCTTATCATCACCATATTCTCTCCTATTAATTCTTTGTATCCTCTACCTGTATCCTTTTGGTCCTCTACATGAGCTTTTGAGCTATCCCGCCAATAACAGAGACAGGAGGTATATACTCTCAACCCCAATCCCTATCATACCCCCTCCTCCCCACCCTCGATTTCTCCCTTCTTTCACAGTAGTGGACTTCTTTCTTTTGGTTGGCTGGTTGGCTGAGTATCTCGCCAAGTTTGCGGCTTTCGCAGGAAAAAGGACAACTTGTTGAGATCCCACGATGTTGACACAACCTTAACCGTAGCAGACCGCTTCATCTTCCCGACAAACGGGGATATTCCACTGCGATCACTAAGGAATTTGCCTTCATGAAAGGAAAGCTACCTATAGGATAGATTTACTTCCCTGAAAGCAATACTATTTAGCTAGGAAGCTAGCTATCTTATAAATAGCGGTATAGTCGGTTGTTGCTCTTGACATGAATGTCAGAAGTACCTCCTTACTCAATTTAGGTAGGTTCCCACTGTAGGGTAGGCTTTAGACCATGTCAATACAATCTAAAGCTAATTAGAGAGCATTCGGTAACTTCCATACCTCATAAAGCACCTCTGAGAGTTCTTAACTTCCCCTTTCGCCTACTTAGCCTGGAACATTACTATCTTGCTGCTTTTACGTGGCGTAGGTACTAGTTATGTATGTTGACATTTCCTCAACAACCACCGAAGCTCAGAAAATTATTGTCGTCGTTTTATGAAGGCAATACTCACCAAGTCCCGGCGATGGCGTAAGCCCTTTCAAAGTAATTGTAGGCCCATTGAGATCCGTCAAAACAACGGCGGGCAAGCGCGAATTAAGCTCAAAATCCGGACAACTAGCCGACAAGGACCGCTCCGCCACTTACCTTTACGCAATCTAAGTCGGCCGAATCCAGCTGCTGGAGAAGTTTTCGATTAAAAGCATAGATACGTTCAATACAGCCAAACAATGACGATATATCGTCCAACGTGACGCCAAGTTCATCGCGATGATCGACAAGGAAGTTTAAATAACCCTGAAAATATTACTCCTCATTTGGCATGCGCTATATAGGAGTTGTAGTGAGGGAAAGAAAAATTAAGGCAATTGGATATAATTGAGAAAAAGTTCAATCCAACAGGACAACCTAATAATGAAGGCCGAAAGTATGAATCTCCTGATCCTGGTTCTGATCAATTCCTGGTTTAGGAGGAGCCCCGCATTCTATTTGCGGTTAGGATCACAAAGGTGTTTCGATTGCGTATGAGGCCTATACAATAACTTACGGTCCCAGCCATGAAAAATATCAAAGTGAAAAGTCAGTGAAAAGAACCCTCCCAGACAGTTTGACATCAATCAAACAATCCCGAAGGTATGGACGGCTTAGTTAACCAGGTGGATATCAATCTGAAGTCTATCCAAAATGGATGGAAACGTCGTACTTGGAAGGGTACCTTTCTACCTGATATGGGTAAGGTAGGTAGAGACAACATATCATCCATTGAGGCAGCTATATCTATCAAAAAGTGTCCCCAGTCTCACAAACAAAGCAAAAACCTTTACTTCTACCGTAGAGCTTCAAACCAAAAAGCAACCATGAACTTCCTGGGTTCTGTTTTTCAAAAATTTCCCTCGCTTTTTCCTACAGTATTTCGAAAAGAGATAATCTGGAAATTTCTCGAGACACTTGGGTGCACTTCATATAAGTGAATTTATAAAGGATTCAAGAAGGTAAGCTTGCTTCTAGAGCTCAGAATTGGTCAGGGATTGAGAAGTACCCCAAGAGGACCAGTTTTGAACGACCACGGGAGCTCCCTTTCAAAAACAAATGTTGAAATGACCGGAAAGTTGTATGAATTGGTTCAAATATAGGCTTACTTGCTGCATTTTATCAGATTTTTGGATAATACCAATTGT